TTACTCATTTATTTGATTTATAGCCCTCCCTCCCCTGTACAACAGAGAAGAGAAGAAGAGAAGAGATTGGATTTATACCCCGCCCTTCACTCGGAGTCTCAGCGGGGCTTACAAACTCCTTTCCCTTCCCCTCCCCACAACAGACACCCTGTGAGGCAGGTGGGGCTGAGAGAGCTCTTGACAGAGAATGCTCTTTTTCAAGAACAGCTCTGACAGAACTATGTCTTGCCCAAGGTCATCCAGCAGCTGCAAGCGGGGGAGTGGGGAATCAAACCCAGTTCTCCCAGATTAGAGATTGAGGATGAAGAGATTGGATTTATACCCCGCCCTTCACTACCCAAAGGAGTCTCAGAGCGGCTTACAATCTCCTTTCCCTTCCCCTCCCCACAACAGCTACCCTGTGAGGCAGGTGGGGCTGAGAGAGCTCTTGACTGAGAATGCTCTTTTTCAAGAACAGCTCTGACAGAACTATGTCTTGCCCAAGGTCATCCAGCAGCTGCAAGCGGAGGAGTGGAGAATCAAACCCAGTTCTCCCAGATTAGAGCCCGCGCACTTAACCACTACACCACACTGGCTCCGAGCCAATTACCACATTCTTAAAAACATTCCAGACCATCAAAGCATTAAACAATTCCGTAATGCAATAAATACAATCAAACAACAACACTCGACACAGCTCGTAGACGGAGGCAGATGAATCTCCTAAAGTCTGCCTGACATGCAACAAGGGGGAGGGGAAAGAAGGGGGGAGGAAATTAGGCCAAGAACCATCACTGCCCTCAACCATAAGCCTGGCAGAACAAGTCTCGTTTTACAGGCTCTGCAGAACTGCATTAGGTCCCACAGGGCCTGGATCTCACCCAACGGAATGTTCTGCCAGGACGGAGCCAGGTACAAGAAGGCCACGTTTCTGGTCGAGGACAGCCGGATGCTGTTTGGGCCAGGGATCACCAGTAGGTCGTTATCAGAGGAGTGTAATACTCTTTGGGGGATGTACCAGGAGAGGCAGTCCCAAAGGTCCACGGGTCCCTGACCATTTAAAGCAGGGGTGTTGAACTCATTGGTTACGAGGGCCGGATCTGACATAAACAAGACCTTGTCGGGCCGGGCCACGTGTGTCATCAAAGGTAACGCCAGGCAGCGGAGATATAAACTCGATAAAGAACACAAACACAAAGGGTTTTTTTTTTACTTCAAATAAAAACATCCTTAAAACATCAGCGCTGTTGCAATGTTTTGTTTATTTAACAGCGTCTGATAACTGACACCTTTTGCTCTGAATCGTTGCATCAAAATGTCTGTGCTGTTGCGATCTTGAGTGTGCTGTTCAGGTGTCTCTCTGTAAACTGCAAAACCTACAATGACGCAGCAGCAGCAGAACTGGAAGAAGAAGCAGAAGACAGTCAGTTCCACTGCGGGCCTAATAGAAGCCCTCCGGGGGCCTAGTCCGGCCCCCGGGCCGCATGTTTGACACCCCTGATTTAGGGCCTTAAAGGTTAACACCAGAACCGTGAACCTGATCCGGTATTCAGCCTGGAGTCAGTGTCGCTGGTGGAGCACCGGTTGGATAGGGGCTCTAAAAGTTGCAGATGACTTCTGGTGACCCCCATAAGGGTTTCCAAGGAAAAAAAATATTCAGGGGTGGTTTGCCTCTGCATAGCGACCCTGAACTTCCTTGGTGGTCTCCCATCTGAGGACTAACCTGGGCTGACCCTGCTTAACTTCGGAGATCGGGCTAGCCATGGACACCCAGGTCAAGGCAAGAGATGTTCAGAGGTGGTCTGCCATGGCCTGCATCTGCGTAGCAACCCCGGACTTCCTTGGTGGGCTCCCATCCAAGTACTAACCAGGCTGACCCTGCTTAGCTTCCAGATCTGGTGAGACTGAACTAACCTAGGTCATCCAATTGAGGGCAGAAGACACACAGAGGTGGTTTGCCATTGCCTGCCTCTGCACAGCAACCCTGGATTCCTTAGTGGTCTCCCATCAAAATTAAAGCCACGCTCTTCCATTTAGTAATGCCCATCAGTGAATCCAGATAACGAGCGCTATCGTTCCTAACGAATCCTTTGGTGTGTCTTATTAAAGGCCTCTTGGCCCCCCCTTTCGCCCGTCTCGCTCATACGCCAGGGCTTCCCCTTCTGAATCTGCATCGGAGATGATAATGTAAACTGTTGGAACGGAGGCCAGGATAAGACGACGAAACTAAGAGAAGTCGTCAGATAATGAGAGCGGCTCCGGCGGCCTGGGATTGTATCGGCTCGATGGAATTAATCAGTCGGGGAGAGTTAAGTGTAGCTTCCTGCCAGAGAGATATCGAGCGCTTTGATGGTTTCGTTTTCGTCCGTCACTTGAACGCAAGTATGAAAATGTCCCGGAGTTTCATAAGTGATTAGAAGACTGGAATAAGTAAGCTATACTTAAAATTTGTTATGGATACACAAGGTGCAACTTTGATCGATTTGCAAGTGATATACATAATGATACAAGGTGAAATGTATAAATGTATGATAAATTAGGCATGCGTTTGTCTGACAAGAAATTGGAAGAATAATTTTCCCTCTTTTATGTTTGTTTTGTCTTTAAAATAAAAAAGGTACAAAAAAAACCCATCCTGGAGTTACAGGTGCCAACCTCCAGGTGGGGCCTGGAGATCTCTCACAATTACAACTGATAAGAAAGCGCAGTTCCTGTGTAGAAAACGGCCACTTTGGAGGGTCGACTCTATGGCATTATTCCACCCTGAGGTCTCTCCCCTCTCCAAAACTTGCCCTCTCGAGGCTCCACCCCCAAGTCTCCAGGTGTTTCTTGGGCAGGAGTTGGCAACTGTACCCAGAATTCTAAGTAAAAGCATTGTCTCAGGACTCTCTCAGTCCCATCTTGTGGGGAGAGGAAGGGGAAGGTGATTAGAAGCCGCTTTGAGACACATGAGGCCTGCTGGGTGACCTCGTGCCAGTCACGGTTCTCTCAGGACTCTCTCAGCGCCACCTGTCTCACAAGGTGCCTGTTGTGGGGAGAGGAAGGGAAGGGGTTTAGAAGCTGCTTTGAGACACACGAGGCCTGCTGGGTGACCTTGGGCCAGTCCCAGTTCCCTCAGAGCTCTCTTAGCCCCACTTGCCTCACAAGGTGCCTGTTGTGGGGAGAGGAAGGGAAGGCGATTGTAAGCTGCTTTGAGGCACACGAAGCCTGCTGGGTGACCTTGGGCCAGTCCCAGTTCTCTCAGAGCTCTCTCAGCCCCACCTGCCTCACAAGGTGCCTGTTGGGGGGAGAGGAAGGGAAGGCGATTGTAAGCTGCTTTTAGACACACAAGGCCTGCTGGGTGACCTTGGGCCTGTCCCAGTTCTCTCAACTTTTCTCAGTCCCACCTACCTCACAAGGTGCCTATTGTGAGGAGAGGAAGGGAAGGCGATTGTAAACCACTCTGAGACTCCCTGAGGTAGAGAAAAGCGGAACACAAAAACAAACTCTTCTTCCTTCATCAAACATATGCGAGGTCCAGCCTAGACGTTTCTCAGATCTTCTTGCCGGGGAAAAGAAAATTATCCGAAGCGCAGGGGTGACACCTGGTGTTCAAGAGATGAAGCAGGCCAGACCTTTCTAGCCAGTTCCCTTTTTAATCATTCCTTTACCCACGTGTGCTTCAGTTGGCATTTGGTACATCTTGTAGGGTTCCCAACCTCCAGGTGGAATCTGGAGATCTCCCAGAATCACAGCCGAT